TTGTAGTAGAACAGGGATGGTAAATATGCAAAGAATAGTACCTTCTATATATAAAGTAAGTTATAGATTAGACTATAGACTAGACTATAGACTAGACTATAGACTAGACTATAGACTAGACTATAGACTAGACTATAGACTAGACTATAGACTAGACTATAGACTAGACTATAGACTAGACTATAGACTAGACTATAGACTAGACTATAGACTAGACTATAGACTAGACTATAGACTAGACTATAGACTAGACTATAGACTAGACTATAGACTAGACTATAGACTAGACTATAGACTAGACTATAGACTAGACTATAGACTAGACTATAGACTAGACTATAGACTAGACTATAGACTAGACTATAGACTAGACTATAGACTAGACTATAGACTAGACTATAGACTAGACTATAGACTAGACTATAGACTAGACTATAGACTAGACTATAGACTAGACTAGACTAGACTATAGACTAGACTATAGACTAGACTATAGACTAGACTATAGACTAGACTATAGACTAGACTAGACTAGACTAGACTAGACTATAGACTAGACTATAGACTAGACTATAGACTAGACTATACTAGACTAACTAAAATCATACTATGAACAACTTAGAAAGAGTTTAAAAAGCTAGAGAACCATACTGAAAAAGTTTTATTGTACTAAATTTTCCATCCCTGCATTAGAACAAAATAACAATAACAATAATGAAAAGCACCAATACTATTTTATATTTACTTGGCTTAAACGTGTTGTTGTTGTTATTACTACTGTGAGTGTGTAATAATAACAGAGAATGTTAACAAAACAAACATGCCTTACAGTGGTGTTAAAAATATTAGCACTTTTTAGATTTTCTACTAATAAAGCAGCTTTAAAGCTATAAAAATAATTAATTATTGTTCAGAATTTTTATTATTAATTACTCTTTTAAGACATAACATGATTTACGTATTAAAATCCAGATTCTTTTTAAAGCTTTTTTTTGTAAGTTCTTGCTGATGTTTTGATTGCTACAATTTAAAACTTGTTTTAAGTACAAGTTTATAATTTTTGTTGTTTTTTTTTTTTACTTTTAAACACCTTTCACGCCTTTTGTTTGGTATGAAATAATAAAACAAAACAGAGTAAAAAACAGAACTTCATCATCATTCTTGCTTTTTTTTTAAGAATAAAGTTTTTAATATGTACTCAACACTTTGCTGTTGGAAGTTTTAAAAGCCGGTTTTTTGTTTTTTTTTTTCAGTTTTTATTTTTATTATCATTTGTTACCAAATGAATTGAGTGCTTTTTTCCCTTGTTTACTTCAAAATTATACATATATATTTTGGTTAAAATAAAATTGTAAAAAAAATAAAATAAAATACATACTTTGTGGTTTAATGTAGTTCTTCTATTTTGTGGGCAAAACATGACTGCGCCACATAAAGCTTTTTTTTTTTTTTTTTGCTTAAATTTCAACTTGTGAAGAGGCAGGCATATTGTATGATGATATTTGATAAAAACTACAACACTGAATTTGTGGTTTGAAAATATACTTTATTGCCGGTTTTTTGCCGCCATGAAATCTTCTGCTACCACGCACAGTTGAGAAATTTCTATATAATGATGACGTTTTTTGTTTATAGAGTTAAACATGTTGAGAGAAATTTTTATTTTTGAGACAAAAAATGTATTAAATTTGCATTTAAATTGTATTTTTTTTACAAAATTAATTAAATGCAAACATTTTGAAAGAAAACATAAAAAATTCTGGAGGTTTTTGAAATGGAGAAGGTCAAAAGAAGTCAAAGTATTTTTTAAAAGCAATGTACAGTAGAATTTTTACCTAAAAGGCTTGTTTCAGCTAATAAAAAGCTTTTTAAGTGAAACAACTTTTATGATAAAAATCTTTCTAATTCTTTTATGAAAAAAGTTTTCTTTAAGAAAACTTTTTTTTAATGAAAACCCCTTTGAAAGCTTTTTAGGGAAGAGTTCTTTTCCTTAAAAGTTTTTTGGCAGAAAAAAAAAATGCATTTTATTGAGCCTTTTACTGGAAAAACTGTTTTAAGCTTTTTAGTATAAAACTTTATTATGAATTTTAGCGAAAAAAACTCTATTGAGCTTTTTAGCAAGAAAAGCTTTATTAAGCTTTTTAGCGAAAAAGGCTTTATTAAGCTTTTCATCGAAAAGCTTTTTTACACTTTTTTAAGGGAAAGCTTTTGTTGACAAAACTGTAAATTTGCTATGAAAGCTTTAACAAAAAACTCAAAACTTGAAAACTTTTTAAGATTAGATTAAATGTGTATAAAAATAATAAAAATTTCTTTATATTTGAAAAATTTTTAGCAAGAGCTTTTATTTAAAAATTTAACCAAAGGTTTAGCAATGCTTTTTTCTATATTTATTATAAAAAAAGCCCATCATTCTTTAGTAAAGGAAAGCTTTTGTGGACAAATCTCTATATTAGCAATGAAATTTACAAAAAATCAAAATTTGAAAGCTTTTTATGTTTCTATTAAATGTCAAATGAACGTTTTCTTTAGTAAAGGATAGCTTTTATGAATTTCAAAATTTAACACAAAGTTTTAGTAAAGCTTTTAGCCAATTTATGTAATGAACTTCATTTTTATAAAAAAAAACTTTAAACTTGTTTAATCCAAAAGTTTTCGTAAAAGGTTTTATATAATGAATGAGCTTTTAAAAGAATAAACGTTATTTAAGCTTTTGATGAAACGTTCCCATATAAAAAATTCAAGTATTGAGCCTGTTTTAAAAATCTTGCAAGACTTTCTCTTAAAATTTCAAAAAGCTTTAATGAAATTGATATTCTCAATTGTCTCTCTTAATTGTTTTAAATAACGTACAAAATTTTATATTATTTAATTGTTTTTATAAAAACATTTGGTCATTTTATTTAAAATACTCATGATGATGTTCTAATATAAAAATATTTTAATAAATATTTTTAGATTTTGTCTACAAAATTATGATTTCATTCATTAAGTTTTAAACAATGATAGATTTTTTTCTAGTTTTTTTTAAATAAAATAATTGCTTTTGAAAACTAAAGGCGCAATTGCGGAAAGAAAACTTAATAAAGATTTTTTTTGAAAACGTTTGACAATTTGCATGCAAGATTATCTAAAAGAAAAGATTTTCTCTAGTTAAATACTAGCAGTAGTTTGTAACTAATTTAAGTTTTTGTTTGAGGACGTAGGAGTTTGTAGAGGAAATAAACGTTTAAATAGTTTTGAGTATTATTAATTAAACAAAGAATGTGTGTTTGCTTAAAAAAAGCTTAAGGTAGTTTCAAGCTAAAGGAGGGGCCTTTTCTAGCAAATGTTTGTTTCAACAAAACTTTTGTAAGAGCAATTTTTTCAAACTTTTTAATTTGAGCTTTCAAAGCTTTTTTTTCATTTTTTTCAAAATTTATTTAATTTTAATATTTTTTGTTAATTACCTTCTAAATAAGCAAAACTTAAGTCAAAAAAACCTTTTTGTATACAAAAATTTTGTATTATTTTGTTTAATTTACATTTAAATACAAAAATGTTTAATTCTATTCTTTCGACCCAAGTCCGTCTGTCCTTATTGCTGCTAATTATTTGTTAATTTTATTTCCATTACATTTTTTTTCACCTCCCCAACTTTTTTTAAACTCATTGTTTGGGAAAGAATGTCTACTACTGAACAAAAAAAATCTACTATTTTATGCATTAATAGTTTGAGGTTTTTTGTTGTTGTTTTTGCTATTTTTATTTTACTTTTGGTGACTGTTGTCTCTAATGTTGTTGAAATGGCGTCATTTGGTTTTCTAAAAATTTACGTAGTCATAATAAAAAGTTCAGGTTACAAATATATAGTTTCTATTTAGCATCCAGTGAAAACGGTTGTGTGAATCTTCAAAGATAATAAAAAAATGTTTTCGGGTAAAATAAAAGAAAAATATATCAATTAATTAAGAAAAACTTTCCTCCAAAAGAGGTTGAAAAGGTTAAATGACAAATATTTTTTTTAGGGGAAAAGAGTTTAACTTTTGATATTAAAAAGAAAATTAATGGAAAATTTTTGAAAAAGAAAAACAATCAATCCATTAATCTAGTGCAAATGGAATAAAATGTAAAAAAGTGTAAAATACTGAAAATTTTCTTGGAATTTAAAATTTTTGTAAAATTCTTCATTTCTCAAACCCTACAGCCTAAAATGACCTTTATAAAGATTTCTACTGAAAGCCTCAAGTGTTAAAAACTATTTAACTTTTGACACTTAAAAAAACAATACATTACAATGGAAAAGTTCAAAATTAAAATTCTTTTAAAAAGAGGTCAAAGGTCACTTTCTTAGAAAAAGCCTGATATCTCAAAGACTATTTACTTTTTTAAATCTAAGGAAACTACAAAATATTTACTAAAAGCTCTTCTATATTTAAAAAAAGTTTAATGTCGACTAGCGGTTTGGTTTTGGAGTTATATAGTAAAACATGGACCAAGTATTTTTAGTTGTAAAATAAAAAATCAAAATATTTAAAAAATACTATAGTTAATGCTATTTTTGCCTTAAAAATAGTTTAGATTTAAAAAAAAGCTTTTCTTAAATTTAGATTTAAATAAAGCTTTTCTTAAAATCAAGTGTGAAAATAAATATAAATTTTCTCTTATAAGTAAGCTTTATGTAGAAATATATAAAAAAATTGTAATAATTTTAAACTTTTTTTTTGAAAATTTATAAAAATTTAAGCATGTTTAGAAAGCTTTTTAGTTTCAAAACAAAATTATTAAAAAAGCACTTTTTATTAGTGAATTTTCTAAAATTGTTTCTTTATTTAGCTCAAAAACCAAAAAATTCGATCAAAAATGTTTTTTGTCCCATAACGATTGGCTCTTAGTTTGTAGAAAACTTTATTGCAATTCCTAGTCAAAGTTTTGTCCTGCGCTATAAGAGCAAGCATGTTTTTCTTTAAATTAGTTACAAATTTTTTAATATTTTTTTTTTTCAATTATCTTCTTTACAGCCTCCCTTAAAAACTTGGGCGATAAGACCGCCAATCTCTTCAGCAAGAAGAAGGATGAAGCCGAAAAATTGGCTAAAGAAAAGGCTGAGAACGCACAAAAACTGGCTGAGGAACAGGCCAAGAAAGTAGGTGAAGCTGTGCAGCAAACCAAGAGCGAAGCTGAAAATTTGGCAGCCAGTACTGGTGAGTAAAAGTAGAAATTTTACTAAAACTTAAAGTGAAAACTTTTTCAAGAACACTTTTTTTGGTTAAAAAGGGTTTCAAAACTCTTTAGTGTGAAAGCTTTTTTAAAGATTTTGGTAAGAAACACTTTTTTCAGTTTTTTAATATTTTTTGTCATAAAAGTTTTAAGTTTTTTGAGAAAAAAGTAATTTTAAAACATTAGTGAAAAAAAGTTTTTAAAGATTTTTTTGTGAAAAAAGCTCTAAAGTAAAACTAGGATTTTAAAAATGTTTAGTTAAAAAGCATTAAAGCTTTTTAGTAAAAAAAAGCTTCTCAAAGCTTTTTAGTAAAAAAGCTTCTTAAAGTTTTTTAGTATAAAAGCTTCTTAAAGCTTATTAGTAAAAAAGCTTCTGAAAGCTTTTTAGTAAAAAGGCTTCTTAAAGCTTTTTAGTAAAAATAGCTTCTTAATGCGTTTTAGCAAAAAAGCTTCTTTCTTAAAGCTTTTTAGTAAAAAAGTTTCTTTCTTAAAGCTTTTTAGTAAAAAAGCTTCTTTCTTAAAGCTTTTTACTAAAAAAGTTTCTTAAATCCTTTCAGTAAAAAGGTTTTTAGTAAAAAAGCTTCATAAAGCTATTCAGAAAAAAGATTCATAAACTATTCAGTAAAAAAGCTTAAAGTCAAAAAGCTTTTTAGTAAAAAAAAGACATTTAAAGCTTTTTAGAAAAAAATAGCAAAAAAGCTTCTTGGTAAAAAAATGCTTAGTAAAGCTTTTTAGTAGAAAAATGCATAAAACTTTTTTAAGTTTAAAGAAAATAATTTTAGTGAAAAACGTTTTAGGAAGAATTTAAAAAAAAATCTTCTTGGTAAAAAATGCTTCGTAAAGCTTTTTAGTAAAAAAAAACATTTTAGTGAAACAATTTTTCATTTAAAAGCTTATAATGCCTTTGAAATTATTTTTTAGTCACCGGGTTAAAAGAATTTTCAACTTTAAACATGTAAAAACTTTTTTAAGGAAAAAAGCTTTTTAGAACTTTTTTTATTGAAAAAGCTTTTTAGAGCTTTTTTATTGAAAAAGCTTTTTAGAGCTTTTTTATGGAAAAAGCTTTTTAGAGCTTTTTTATTGAAAAAGCTTCTAAGAGTTTTTTTTATTAAAAAAGCTTTTTAAAGTTTTTTATTGAAAAAGGCTTTTAAAGATTTTTTAGGAAAAACATTTTAGTAGTTTTTAAAGCTATTTAATAGAAAGCATTTCTAAGCTTTTAAGGTTTTTTACGCTATTTATGAAAAGGTATTTTTTTGTTCTTTTTTTTTCGCATTTTACTGAAAAAGCTCTTTAAAGATGTTTTTACTATTTTGTAAAAAGGCTTTTTACAAGTTTTTTCATTGAAAAAAGAGAATTTTCAAAGCTTTTCATTAAAAAGTAACTAAAAAGCTTTTGATTTGTTTTAGTAAAACAACTTTTAAAAGCTTTTTAATGAAAATTTGTTGAATAACATGAACTTTTTTTATTAAATTTGTTTAATTGTTCTTTCCAGCCAAGGAAGCTGCTGATTTAGCCGCCCAAGAAGCTCAAAAAGCTGGCCAAGCCATCGATGCTGGTGTTAACCAAGCTGCTGCCGCTGTAGACAATACTAAGAATGCCGTCAACAATACCGTGCAACAAGTCAATACTGTAGCCGCCAATTCCAAGCAAGTTGCAGCTAATATTGCTGATGCTTCACAAAAGGTATGTTAAGAAATTACAAATAAAAAGCTCAGAGAACATGTTAATATTAAATGAAATTTTCTTTAAAGGCCGCTGCCAATGCTGTCGATCAAACCAAAAAGGCTGCCAACGAGGCCATCAACAAATCCGTCAAGGCTGCCGAACAAGTAGTGGACTCTAAAATGAAGGAAGCCGAAAATGCCGTCGATGGTGTCATGAAAACTACCAGCCAAGCTGTTGATCAAAAAATGCAAGAAGCCAATCAATATGTCGATCAAAAGAGAGAGAATTTGGAAAAGACCATACACGATACCGCCGTACATGCTCAAGAATCTGCTGGCAATCAGGCTGCCAATCTTATGGGCAAATTGAGTTTGGCAAAAAATTAAATCAAAATTTATAATATTTAACTAAAGTAAACAAAAACAGCAACAACAACAACTACTACTACTTTTTAAAAAATTAAAAACACACTAACTCAATTATTAAACAAAAAACAGAAAACCCAGAAAAGAATAACAGCTTCATTTAGTTAAAAAAAATCTTGTGCCAGTTTTGTGATCTTTTAAAAAAAGAAAATTGTTTTTTAAAAATTTATATAAATTTACTACACAGTCAACAATGACTAAACAAAAGCTTAAAATAGTAAAACAACACGTGGCCTATATAGAAAACAAACAACAACTGAAAAAATCGTATAAAGAAAAACAATTTAACAAACAAAAACAAATTCGCTTGTAGTTTAAAATTAACAAAAAAATGAAAAGAAACAATCAAAGTCCATAAATTTAATTATATTAACACCCTCAAATCTTTTTAATATTTCTTTTTTTTCTTATTTTGCAGCTAAATATTTTTTCCTTATTTTTGTTAAAGATTCTTCTTATATTCTTCTATATATAAATAATATTTAATTATATTTTTTGTATATGTTTAATATCTCTCTTTAAGCATTTTGTTTTTTTTTTGCTAAAACATAAAATTTATTATTAAAATATGTTTTAACTACATATAAATATTTAACGTAAAGAATTTAATTTTTAGTTTTGTTTTCTTTTTTTTTTAGTAGTGTTTTCAAAGTTTATTTCAAAAACATAAATTTTCTTATTTTCTTATTGATTTATATTAAAATATATATAAAAGAAAACAACAACCAGAACTTTGATATTAGTTTTATAATTTATTTTGTATTATATACTATTTTTTTAAATAAATGTAATTTCTTAAATGAAAAATAAAAAAATAAAAAAAACCTTAAAAAACAACTAAAAACAGAATTTTATTAAATATGTGTTCAAGTATCTTTAACCAATCCGAACAAAATGTATCTAAATTTTATTCAGATTGGGTTAAAGATATGTATGCACATGTGTATATTTGGGGTCATAAAATTAAGTAAACTCATATTTTTCAAATTTTGCACTAAAAATCCAACTTTTCATTAAAATTCGATTTTTTATTAAATTATTTTATTGAAATAAATGCTTTTCAAAACTTATTACAAAAATTAAAAAAAATGTTTTACAGAGCTTTAATTGAAAAAGTCTTCAATGATTTTTGTAGATAAATTTTTAGTAAAAAAGCCTTTTTAAGCTTTTTAAAAGAAAAAAGCTTTTTTAAGCTTTTTAGTGAAAAAGCTTCTTGAAGCTTTTTAGTAAAAAAGTATTTTTTAAAACTTTTTAGTAAAAAAGCCTTTTTTAGTAAAAAAGCTTTTTTAAGCTTTAAGTAAAAAAAGCTTTTTAGGCTTTTATTAAAAAAAGCTTTTTAGGCTTTTAGTAAAAAAGCTTTTTTAAGGCTTTTAGTAAAATAAATACATTTCGATTTTTAATTAAAAAAACTATTTACAGGTTTTTAAAGATTTTTAGTAAAAAGCCTTTTTAAAGCTTTTTATTAAAAAAAAAGCATTTTAGTAAAAAATCACTTCAGTGAAAAACTTTTTTGAAGCTTTTTAGAAAAATAGTTTTTTAAGATTTTTAGTAAATTTTTAGTAGTAAAAACCTTTTTTAGCCTTTTAGCAAAAAAGCTTTTTAAAGAATTTTAGTAAAAAAGCTTTTTAATGAATTTTAGTAAAAAAACTTTTTACGATTTTTAGTAAACAACTTTTTTAGGCTTTTTAGAAAAAAATATTTAAGATTTTAAGTAAATTTTTAGTAGTAAAAAACCTTTTTAAGGTTATTGTAGTAACACAGCTTTTTTAGCCTTTTAGTAAAAACCTTTTTAAGCTTTTTGTAGTAAAAAAACTTTTTTAGCCTTTTAGTAAAAAAGCATTTTATTACAAAATGCTTTTTTCGAGTAGTAAAAAGTTTTTTAGTAAAAAGCTTTTTTAAGCTTTTTAGTAAAAAGCTTTTTTAAGTTTTTAGTAAAAAGCTTTTTTAAGCTTTTTAGTAAAAAAGCTTTTTAAGCTTTTTAGTAAAAAAGCTTTTTAAGCTTTTTAGTAAAAAAGCTTTTAAGCTTTTTTGTAAAAACTTTTTTAAGCTTTATTGTAAAAAAGCTTTTTAGTAAAAAAGGTTTTTAAGCTTTTTAGTAAAAAAAGCTTTTTAGCAAAACAACTTTTTAAGCTTTTTATTAAAAAGCTTTTTTAAGCTTTTTTGTAAAAAAAGAACTTTTAAAGCTTTTTAGTAAAATAGTATTTTACGCTTTTTAGTTATTAAAACTTATTTTTAGGATTTTTGTAAAAATCTTGTTTAAGTTTTTTTTGTTAAAAAACGCTTTTATAGGTTGTATAAAAGCTTAAAAGCTTTTTAATTGAAAGGGTCTGGTTAAAGAGAAACAGTTTCACGCTTTTTAGTAAAAAGCTCCGGTAGGTTAGTGGTTAGTGTTCTAGTCTGGTAGACCGGAGGTGGTGGGTTCGATTCCTACCTGAGGCACTGGTTAAGGAGCGCACAACAGGCCCGATAGAGGCCTAGGTGTATTTCTTCGGATTTGATGTATATACATCCTCCTTTCAAACTAACTAACTAACTAACTAACTAACTAGTAAAAAGCTTTACTAAGCTTGTTTTAATAAAAAAGTTATTAAGGTTTTTATTGAAAAATACAAAATCTTAAGCTTTTCAAAGCAATCTAGCCTTTTCAAACTTATTGTTAAAAATTTGTTTAAGCTTTTTAGAAAAAAAACTTTTTTAAGCTTTTAATATATTAAATATTTTATTAAAGCTTCTTTTATTAAAATTACTTCTTAAGCTTTTTAATAAAAAAAACTTTAATTTATGATAATGTTTTATAATAGAGTTTTAAAGAAAAAGCTTTTTTCGACAAAAAAAGCATATTTAACAAAAAGCTTTTTTTAATTTTTTAATAAAAAGCTTTTGAAGCTTTTAAATAAAATTTTTTCTAAGCTTTTAAATAATTAAAAAACTTTTTAAGCTTTATAATAAAGTTTTTTTTTTAGTTTTATAATAATGTATTTTGATGAACAAAATATTAAGCTTTTTAATAAAAAATATTTTTAAGTTTTTAATAAAAATGAGCTTAATAATGAGCTTTATAAACTTTTTAGTAAAGAGTTATTTAAACTTTTTAATAAAGAGCTTTTTAAGCCTTTCAGTATGTTTTTAAAGCTTTTTTAATAAAAACCTTTGGTAAACTATTTTTTTTTTGTAAAATTCTTTCTAGAAAAAGAAAGTAAAAAAAACTTTTTAGTGTTTCTGATTAAAAAGCTTTTTAATAAACAAATTTTTAAGTCGTTTTAGTAAAAAAATTTTTGGGTTTATTAAAAACCAATACTTTGTCTTTAAACTGACTATCCTTTCATTGTTTTAATAACATTTAAGCGGTTAATAAATAAATTGTACAGATTTTAAATACTTTCGTTTAGTTTATAACTGTATAGTTAAGTTTTAAAATATTGCCAACCTCTTTAATGGTTTAAAGAAAAGTCCACCACTCGTTAGGTTTATGACTTGGCTAAGTTGTAGGTAATTTAGTCAAGACAACTACTAAATTATTTAACGAAGGAAATTTGAATAAAAGAGGAAATTTGAAAACTTAACAACTTCGCAATATTCGATATGATTTGGCTTCTTTGCAATATGTATTGCGTTTTTACAATACTTTCTCTCTCTCGCTCTCTGTGTCTTTACCATATCGTGTAAAAAGAGCTGATAAATTAAAACCAAATGCTCAAGATTGCAATTATCACAAAGTTGGGAGTATTTTCGAAAATTAAAGTTAAATCAGAGTAAACCAATGTCAATGGGTAAAGCTCTACATTCTTTACCATAAAGTTGTATTTAAACAATATGTAGTTTATCCCCCCTTTTGTTTTTTCCATAAAAATAGTAAATGAGCTATAAAGAGCTAAATAAGGAAATTGATAACATTACAATAGATTTTTATGATTCATGAGTTTTTTCTATTCTAACCTTCGAAAGGAGTAAACGAACAGGTCATTTAAAACAAATGATGTTAAAAAGTGGCAAACAGTTCTTTACCTTTTAGCAAAAAACACTTATTTTTAGTTCAGTGATAAAAATCCAATCCAAAGTGAGTCTATTATTCAAGGGAAAATATTACAATTTGATTAAATATGATAAGAAAATTAAATATCAGTTAACAGGTCACTTAAGTTTAGATAAAAATATGTGACTACAGCGAATCTTAAATACCCTACATCTAAATATATAAAACAGAAACCAGTTTCTCTTTTAACTTACCAATTTAAATTTTAACTTACTTTTCCTAACAAACTTAATTCCTAATATAAATTGTAATTTTATAAAATACTCTTCAAACTTTATTGTTTCAACCCAAAACTTTTGATTCATTAGTTATTAAACTAAAGACCAGTGTTAAATTTCTTTCCTTTTACACCACCTTCCCCTAACATAACAAAATATGAATTTAAAACATTTCCAAATAAAAAAAGCAAAACTCTTTTAAACCCACTAACAATAGTTTAATTGCCATTTGAATAGTACTTCATACAAAACCTCATCTCCAACGTGTTTATGAGGGCAACAACAACAACAATGTTTATTCCAAAAATTTTTCACACTTGTCTCTAAAATGTTTTTTTTTTTTACTTTATGGGTTTTGTTGCTAGTTTAATATTATTTTTTTAGATTCTTTTTACTCTGCACCAAAATCGCATTTATTTGCTGTCAGTTAAATAACGAGAAATATTTGTAAAAAAACGTAAAAAGCAAAGAGTTTTTGTATAAATATAATATATAGTATGTAAATGGAGTGTCCTTTGTAATGTGGGTTCATTGTAGCTGATGTTATTATTTGGCAGAGTTTAACCAATATATTCGTATATATGTAAAAATCTATTTAATTAAATGCAGTTATTTTTTACAATACATATCACAAAAATGTCGAGAATAAATGTAGTGAGAGAAAAAATGTCATGAAATTGAATAAGGAAAGTTTTTAGTCCAGACTATAGACTAGGCTATAGTACAGACTAGACTATAGTCCAAACTATAGGCTAGACTATAGTCCAAACTATAGACTATTGTCCAGACTTCAGACTAGACTAGACTATAGACTAGACTATAGTCCAGACTATAGGCTAGACTATAGTCCAGACTATAGACTAGACTAGTCATAGTAAGGACTGTAGGCTAAACTATAGACTAGTTTAGTTTATAGTCTATAGTCTAGTCTATAGTCTAGTCTATAGTCTAGTCTATAGTCTAGTCTATAGTCTAGTCTATAGTCTAGTCTATAGTCTAGTCTATAGTCTAGTCTATAGTCTAGTCTATAGTCTAGTCTATAGTCTAGTCTATAGTCTAGTCTATAGTCTAGTCTATAGTC